AGAGTGTGTTTCTCAAGCAGTTAAAGTATTTAAATGAAACAGTCATTCTTTTTCAGAATATTGGATCTTTCTGGGAAACTTTATTGAGGTTGACCATTTAATTTTAACATGCTGGAATGAATGACATAGAATAATTCATAGGCGTAACTGATTTCAGGGAGTTACGTAGGAAATGATCCTTTGCTGATATTTGGAATCATTATGTTGGTGTGACTGATTTTTTTTATTTTTTAAATTGGAATTTATGATGTAGATAAGCAGAGGGGGTCAAAAAGCCTCTGAACAATGTCTTGTCTTTGCAGCTCACTCCAGAGCAAATCAGCATGGATTTGAAAAGTGAATTAATGTACCGTTTGGAGCAGGATGAAGAATTACAAAGGGTAAGTGTGCTTCTTGTAACATTGCGTGCTTGTGCTGGTCATTTTCTTTTCCAAAAGAGGTTGATTGTGTCGTATACAGAGTGTGTAAGGCTGGATTTGAGTGGTAACACACATCAAGTTTTCAGAAGTGCTGGATGTTATTACACTAAGATGGATGTGGGGATGTGTTGCGCTGTGTAAGGGAAAAAATGCAAACTGTGATTTGTTCTTACACAGTTTTTCATTTGTGTCAGTGAAACGTGTGGAGAAGAGTGAGGTAAAAGTATGGATGTGGAGCAGAATTAGGGACATTTTTGGAAACATGCTGGATTTTTTTTTTTCCCAGATCCAACAAGAGAGAGAGGCCTTACCCGTGAAGAATTTTGAAAGTGAAATTCTGGATGCAATCCGTCACAATTCTGTTGTTGTCATTCGTGGTGCCACTGGTTGTGGCAAAACCACGCAAGTGCCACAGTACATCCTGGATGAGTACATCAAAACTAACAGAGCTGCAGAGTGCAACATAGTTGTGACACAGGTGAGGAATGTGTTATAAATGCAACCATTGAAGTTTTGAATCGGATGCTAGAAATCACCTATTAGAATCAGAATCACAGTGGTTGGAAAAGACCTTTAAGATCATTGAGTCCAACTGTAAACCCAACGCTACCAATTCCACCTCTAAACCATGTCCCTAAGCACCTCGTCTACCCATCTTTTAAATCCCACCAGGATATGTGACTCCACCACCTCCCTGGGCAGCCTGTAACACATTAGGATGTGTTGAGAAATCTGATTATCATTACAGGACATCATTCATAAAAGTATCTCCTCAATACTACCTGTAGGAGAAACCTCAGCATCATGTGTACTTCCATTTGGAGTGTGATTCTTTCATATATCTACAGCTGGGATAATCTGACTTGTACCTTACCCAGGTGAAAACTTTTTGGCAGACTGAGGGGAAACCACTTGGCAAATGCCAGCTGGTAGTTCCTGTATATTATATTCCTCCTCTGTAATTTTATGTGCAAAATTGATCATTTCAGGAGAAGAAAGCCTGCTGTTACAAATATTTACTGCTCTGTAAAGAAATCCTAGGACAGGACACCTATAGCTTTTATAATTTAATTTCTAGTTTTCAGTGGTGTTTGAATAAACTTAAAAAACATCATCATTAATTTAGAGAAAACATTTTCATCCCTCAGCCTCGGAGGATCAGTGCAGTGTCTGTAGCAGAGCGTGTGTCGTATGAGAGAGGAGAAGAACCTGGGCAAAGCTGCGGATACAGCGTGCGGTTTGAATCTGTGCTTCCTCGGCCTCATGCCAGTGTGATGTTCTGCACTGTAGGTCTGTATTGGGGGTTTTTTAATGTGTTTGGAGCTTATTAATTAGTTATAGGTCTGAATTCTTTGAGTTAGCAGCAAAAGCAGAAATGTAGTTACATTAAAATTGTTAGAAAATCTGTTTAAAAGAGTAACAACTCTCTGGTTTTTGATAGAATAAGTTTGCTGACATACTGTTGTGCAGAGAACCATTAAGGTTGTTACTCAGAAGTATGATAATACAGGTCTAGTACCACGCAGGAATAATCTCCTGAAGGGAGAAAATTGCTGTGTATTGATTGTCCTTAAAAGACAGAAGGGGAAGCAGTGTTGGGTGGGAAAGAAGAAAGAGTATTTCTAATAGTAGTGCTCCATACCCTCCTCATCACCCTCAAATGCAAGCATGGCATTGGAGGTGGGGCTGTAAAAGGTGCTGGGCAGCCTGTGTACTTGTTGATTTTTACACCAGTGCAACTCTTCTTGATGAAATGAGGCAGGGCTGGAGGGCAGGGCACTAAGACTGAGCCGTTACCTACATGAACATTTAACTACTGTGTCTCTTTAAGGTGTTCTTCTGAGAAAGGTGGAGGCTGGGATCCGTGGCATTAGTCATGTTATTGTTGATGAGATCCATGAGAGAGACATTAACGTGAGTTAGCTGGTGAATACGATCCTATTTCTCTCTGTACTTCTGTTCTGTTTAACTTCTGCATGAGTTCTTGTGAAAGGAAACTGCATTTCACCAATTGCCATCCATGTGAGTTTTCCATCTTTATTAAGATTTTTAGAAACTCTTCTCTTAATTACTCCTTACCTGATTAAAAAAGCAAGGACTTGTGCTTACTTGCTGCCCTATCTCTTTTGCCTGTTGGGATCTCCTTCTATGTCCTGGTCCTCTCTAGAAATTAGAACACCAGGGTACAAGCACTTCTTGTCCAAATATAGGAGCATGCTGAATGTCACTTTCATTTTGGAGTGGTTTTTTCTACTGACAATGTTGTGTTACTGCAGCAGAACAGCAGTGGCATTTACAGAAGCTGCGGTCTTGACAGTGGTACATTTAAATTTGGTTTTGACACAAAGGAAAATGCAACAAGTTGACAATAGAATTGGGTGAAGGATTGTATGTAATTTAAGAAATGAGAAACATTTTCCATCCCCTTGATTCTTCTGTATTGTCTTCAGCTTTGCCGCACCAAGAGTGAGAGAAACTGCCAAGTTCTGACATGATCTTTAAGCTTATTTTGGCAGAATTTGGAGGCTCCTTTAGATGGAATTGCAAGGCAGATTTTTCTGATCTTTTAATTTATTAAGTTCGTATTAATGATGTAAAATACAAGTTTTCAAATGCTGAATGAGATTGGAATTTTATCTGTTGAACTAAGGGCCCACTGAACTGTATGACAGCACTAGATAAGTGTCATCTTTAAATAGAACTGTAGAACTTCCCATGCAGTTACACTGAGTCATTCCTATTTATTCCATGAAGTATGGCTACTTTCTATATAAACCAAGTTTAAAAGGACCTGGGGTTGTAATGGATTGTTAGGGAGGAAGTACACTATTTTTGAATGCTTTTAGAA